TGTAGTTATTCATTATTTTGAATTAATAACATTAAGCCATATCTTAATGCTATTAATTTTAAAGATAAAAATAAAATCATTAATAATACTTTGTTCACCATCATTGATGACTTTAATAGTTATTTTTTTCACTTGTAATGAAATAAAACTAGCCACATCATTCGCATACACTAATTTAACTTTATGAAGGTCTTTATTAAGAAAATAATAAATATCAATAAATTAATTGATATTAAAGTTCGATTACAAACATGAAACCAACGAGTAAACGAGCTATATGTAGCAATATATCATATTCAATAAATAATTTTAATGGTTTATATTTTTATGTAATTTATCTAACTCACTTAAATTAAAAATATATGATATTCCATTATTAATATTAATATTATCAATTTCAAAATAATGTATGTTATTTAATGTGTAAGACTTATAAACTGGTTTATATTTATTAATATAATTTTTAACAATATTACTATTTTTTATTTTTAATAATCTAACATCACCTAAATTATAAGATAATACTATGTTTTTAATTTCTATTGGTAAATCATAAAATATCATATAATATTAATATATATTTAATTATTTAATTATTTAATTATTAATTATTAGGTACCATTCGTTGATTCACATTTTTATAAAACATTTTTTCTTTATCAGACTCCATCATATTAATAAACATAAAACTATGTTTTTCATCGGTAGCTGTGTGATACAATTGTAATAATGTTTGTTTATCATATAAAGCACTAAGTTCATCTATTATACTATCTAAATCTTTTGATTTCTTAATCTATATACATATAATTGTGTTGCGTTTTTTCTAACTACTGGATTCAATAATGTATAAGATTGACATGTTATAAAAGTAGAAATAAAATAATGTCTACCTTTTACAAACAATCGTACAAGTTCTTTATTTTTTCTAGCAACATCTTTGTTATCACTAAAACCATCTATTATTATAGCAATATTATAAATTTTTGAAAAATCTTTATCTTTCATATATTTTACTATTTTTTCTTGAGTATCAATAATATTTTTCATTTGTTCTTCATTAAATGTATCAAAATATACAGGATCATCTTCAGTATGATTTATTTTTAATTTATTTGATATATAATCTTTTACTGTATCCCAATTATTATCTAAATGTATTGTTGGACTAAAAATAAATATTTTTTCAAAACAATCACGATAAACATTTAATATTAAATTAGTTAATGTTACTGTTTTACCAACGCCCGACGGAGCCGCGAATATTTGTCTTGCTGGTAGTTACCTACATGATCATGTCGTGATTGTTTACTATTGTATTCTTTAGTTTTGTACGGTTTGATATCAATCATAAAATAATATTATAAATACTTATAAATAAAAAATATAATATAATTATATCATAATGTCAAGAGAATCTGTTAATTTAAGTGAAGTGGCTAGTATTCGGACTATATATAAATTTGGTGATATCTTAGTGCAAGACACTAATCAAATATATTATGATACGATGTTATACTTTTTATCGGCAATTAAACAGCAAAATATATAGTATCCAAATCATCAATTGAAAATGACAATAACCTAGATTTTAATTTTAGAAAGTTAGTAAATTTTATGAAAGATTATCCCGATATGTATACAAATGAAATGATAAATAGTGTACAAGAAGTTATTGATATTAATATTAGAGATGTTAGTCTATCAACTGCAATAAAACTTACTAAAGAAAATTGTTTAAATGAATATTCTATTTAATATTAAATGGACGCGAGGAACGAGCCTCTCGTTAACGCGACGCGAGGAACGCGACCATCATTTTATGATATGCTGGTGGTGAATATCATAAAAATGGAACAGGTTGTCGCGAAGCTTCAATCAATAAAGCATTGAAGCTAATTAGTTTGATGCATTGTAAAGAAAACCCCAAGTGCTGTGCCCCACCAATATTCTATTATGCATGAAAATAATAAGATTAAATAACTATTTTGTCTTATTATTTATATGAATAGGAGTTATTCAAATTATATTATATAATAGATGAAGTAGAAAATATAGAACAAGTAATAATTACTGACAATAAAAAAAAATGCTGTTTTATTTTAGAAATACTTAAGCTAGGAATACAATATATCAAAAATAAAAATGTAAATATTAATATAAATGGTAAAAAAGAAAAGAAAAAAGAATAAGACAGGTTTAAGTGTTTCTTCAACAGATGAAGATAGCGGAGAAATTGTTAAAGAAACAGCAGTAATTGAGGTTGCTTGTCCTATGTGCAAAAAGATGTTAGAACTGAAAAATGAGTTAGAAATACAAAAGAAAGGACATTGTAAATGTTCATGTATTCCAACAAGTTTCAAAATAAGTAAAAATGATAAGAAAATGAATATTGATAAAACTAAAGACAGTATCAACTTAGAAACTGATGTCCATAATATAACTTTTAAATTTGGTAGGCAAGCAACACCATCTGATAATAATGAAAACGAAACGCAGGAAACTATTAAACAAATGATGAAAAATTAGTATTTAAAGAGTAGATTTAACATAATTGCACTTTATAAATATATATAATTAAATAAATAAATAAATATCTAATTATTTATATAATCATAATGCCAACTATGAATGGAGAAGACCATAGAATTATAACTTTTGACGATGAAGAAATTAAAGACCTATTCAATGGTGATGAAAACTTTGCTAAACAATTGAGTGAAGAATATTTTTATTGGTTTGATGCTAAATTCAGTGATAAATATTTTATGAAAGGTATAACTAAACCAGATAACTTTGGTAAAATATTGATTTTTTTTGAAATTACAGGTGACGAGGAAGGTTTAATACAAATGAAAAATAAAATTGATGAAAGACTCTTAGAATATAATTTATTTACATATATAACATTAAATTATTCAGGTAAATTGTATAATTAAATAAATGAATTATCTAAATAAATATATAGTAATGTCTGAAAATGAGAATTATACTATTAATGATTTAATGAAGAAGATAACATTAATTGGTAAAAATATCAAAACCTTAAATGATATGATTAAATCCATTGATGACAAAATGAAACCAGTTGAACGCAATGAAGATAAAGAAAAAATCGAAAAGATATTTCAAGCAAAATCTATAGGAAGACCAACGGGTGATTATCCTACAAAGCAAAAGAAATATTGTGATATGTTGAATACAGGAAAAATCAAGCAACCAAAGCAACAAACATTAGACTATTATAAAATTTCAAAAAATGATGATGGAGTATATGCATTATTTGAATAATTAATATCTAAATAATTCTAATAAATGAATTTATTAGAATTATTTAGCGGAACAAAAAGCGTCGGAACCATAGCAAAGTCGCTTGGATTTAATGTAATATCATTAGACTTGAAAAATGCTTATATCAACACTGATATTTTGGAGTGGGATTACAAGCAGTTTGACAGAAACCATTTTGATTTTATTTGGAGTAGTCCCCCGTGCACCCAATACAGCAAAGCAAAAACAACAGGAACTAGGAATATCGAATATGCAAATAGTATTGTCTTAAAAACTATTGAGATTATCAAATATTTCAATCCTAAATATTTTGTAATCGAAAATCCACAAACTGGATAATTGAAAAATCAGGAGTTTATGGATGAGTTTGAATTTAAAGATGTTGATTATTGTAAATATGGAATGCCTTACAGAAAACGCACTAGGCTCTGGAATAACATTACAACTTGGAAACCTAGACATTTATGTAAAAAGGATTGTGGCAACATCAGGAATAATAAACATATTGAAACTGCGCAGAGACTGCCAAATGAAAACAAGGAAAAATGGGGAGACAATCCAACAATACATAAGCAAGAAGACCTATATAAAATACCTAGCGAATTAATTTGTGAAATTCTGATGAGTTTGAATTAGGGGGAAGGGGCTTCCCCTTTTTGGGGGAAGGGGCTTCCCCTTTTTGGGGGAAGGGGCTTCCCCTTTTTGGGGGAAGGGGCTTCCCCTTTTTGGGGGAAAGGGGGAAGGGTTTCCCCTTTTTGGGGGAAGGGTGCTCACACAGCCACCTGCATTTGCCACTGTTTCATGTGGCTCACTTCGGTGGTTCAATTCAACCCATAATGATTAAAACCATACTATGATTATAACATTTATACCCTTATATGTTATAATTATAATGTAAGTATAGCGTTTTATATATTGAAGATAAAAATCCTACAAGGAGCACCACACGCAACTTCGGAATATCCAAATGTTGAAAAATGATTAATTATTTGAATTATTGAACATGTTGTTTCTTATTGAATAATTCTTCTTAAAATGCTATATATATTTATCTCTTTTGAAAATAATATATTTTCTAAAATATTTTGGAAAATATGTGTTTTTGAAAATAACAATGTTTAGGTGTATTGAATTTTTCAAAAAATAATTCAATTTTCGTTTTGGTAAAATACCTTGATATATTCAAAAAAATAGGAATGAACATACTAAGGTATGACGGTATTACTGGAATACGGTGTGCGGATTTTTGTTTTTCGGGAGTTCTAACATTTTCCGAAGTTGCGCCAGGCCAAATCTAACTGCAAGACCCTCCCAAACCCTCGGCCCACCCGAAACCAATCCCAAACCACCTTGACCTTATCTCATAAACCTCATAAACCTCATAAACCTCATAATCCTCATAAACCTCATAAACCTCATAAACCCACCTTATCAATTCCACACCTGCTCCAAACTTGTTCTTAGCTCACCCTGCATCCACCCAAAAACAGCCGCTAGAAGCATGCTTTGGAACCGAACCGATCATGAGAAACGTAAACACGCCATGGAACTCGGTATCCTCACCGGAATGTGGGAGTCGGCAAGGCCCACTTTGTTTTGTGGAGAGGTGGAGAGGTGGGAAGGTCCGGGTGATCCGGGTGATCCGGTATCTTGCGCACGGGGTTACGACCACTGACGAGGGGATAGTGTGCCGACTTTTTTGAAGTTCGAGTGCGTTTGGCTCGAAGGCAGTTCAGCAACTGAGAGCATGTGAAAGGTCAGTCATAAGATTGGCATTTGGATTCACTCGCGCGCTTGCCGATGGCTCCACAAGGCCGATTTCGATCTGCGCTTCTTTCTCTGCATCGAGATTCGGATTGATTCGGATTGATTCGGATTGATTCGGATTGATGCTTCTTTTTTTTTGACCTGCGCAGACCTTGGTCTCAGCAAGGAGAGGGCGGGCGAGCGTGCCACGCCGAAGTACCGAGCCGAGAGACGGATCGCGGCTCGGGGTCGGGGCGTTCGAGTTCGCCAGGATGCCTCTCCAGTTCGAGCCCCGAGTGAACTTTGAACTCTCCAAGACATTCTGCAACTATTTTTCTAAAGACTTTCCTTGTTTTTTAAGTTTCTTTTTGAGACGGCCCTGAGGCTTCCCCAACCAAGACGCCGCTGTCAAACATGGCGAAGCTCTTTAGAAAGGAGATCGGATTGGCTTGGATCGGATCCAGACGCTCGCGTGCAGGGCACTGCAGCCGTAGTCGTGGATGATGCGCATTATCAGAAGTGCGAAGATTTGCAAGCACAGGCAGGGTCAGTGGGCAGTGGGGCAGTGGCTTTGCTCTTGCGGTCTCAAGATTGGAAAGGAGAAGGGCATCCTCAAGCAGTTTTGGGTTCTCCTTGTAGCCACTGCGGCCGCTCGACTCACTTCAGTCTGCAACTTCGAAGTGCGGCAAATTGTGGAAATCCCGATTCCGAGCAGATTCCGAGGTGCTGTCCAGCTCGTTGTCCTTTCTCATTGACCGCTTTACTTTTGCCGTGGGCCTGCTGCGCTCGGCGCTGACGCTGGGTGCTCCGCACCTTGGAATCGAGAGTCGACGCTCTGCGACGCTCCAACTTTGCATCTCGAGAAATGGATCGCCCTGTCAGAACTGCCTCTCGAGCGGCAAAGGGCCCATCCACGCAGTTTAAATTGATGGGTCAACGCAGAATTCAAGTTTGGTCTCTTGACCTGTTTTCCCCGACACAGGTGCTTGGTTTGTAACCCATCCTTCGTTTGTGGTCAGGGGAACAAACCAACTTGACCTGAATGTCAGTCTCAGCTTCATTTGAGTTGTTTTGAAGCAGCACGGTTTGGTACTCTTCAGTGCTCTTGTGTCTTGGTGGAAACTCGTCTCCAAAGACATTGTTCTGTACTGACCCCTCTTCCTTTCCATGTTGGGGAAGGATGCGGGGAACACTTTATGTCAAGTCTCTGGCAGTTTTTCAAGTTGCGGATTTTGACTCCCTTTGTCAAACGTTGAGAACTCCATTTTGTGCTATTGGAATTGAGGCTGAAAGCGCTGGGCTTTAACATTTGTCTCGCTTGTATGGCCCGCATCATTGTGCGTCCAACGGCATCTGCCTCAGCGCACATGCGGCACATAAGCATTTTCGTATTTTCGTATTTGGCATGCACTGTGTGGTTGGCGTTCGGGCGCCAAGATGGAAGCAGAAGGAAGCGGCTTTCCTGAGATGAAGGCCAAGTGCAGCGAAGCATATCAGGTCCGTAGTGCACTTTGGCATTGCATCCGAGCACAGGCCATGCTTTTCGGGAAAGTGCTGTTCAACTACCTGACGTTCCGAGTGTCAGCTGTCTGAGACGCGCGCAAGCGCAGTGCAACTTTTGCTACCGGTCAGAAGCAACACTTGCCTGCAGCTGAGTCGGCTAAGTGACTCGAGTCGGCCGAGGCTGGTTTCAAAGGCGCTGGCTCTCTCCTTGGGCGTTGGCGCAGGGCTGCCGTTGGGCAAGGCGCGATGCGGGAGACGGCACCAAAATGGGCATGTATGTGATGCATTTGCTCTTTTCACGTCAGGAGGGCCCCAATGTTCACATGGCTGCCAAGACCCCAGAGCGACTGTGTGTGGAGAGGGGGGGGTGTTTACGGGAGAGGCCTGCATTGCGCGGGTCGTCTGCCCCAGTTTCTTCGAGTCCGGCCCCAAGATGGGCAGAGCTATGGGGAGAGGCGCTGGCCTGATTTGGCCCGTCTCCGGTTTTTTAGCAGCGAGAACGGATTTTCCCTTCTTCCTTTCCTGATCTTTCTTTCCCTTGTCCTTCTCTGACCCCTTCTGTCTTCCTTGCCTTTTCTTCCTTCCTTTTTTTTCGCTCATTCTTTTCTCATTCCTTTCTTCCCTTTTCCTTTTCTCCTTTTTCTCCTTTT